ACTAAGTAGGTAGGATGACAGGCTTGAGCCACTGGTGCCTGACTGCTCCTGTTCTTATGTGGCCGGGAATGATTTATTATTCCATGTTAAGAAAAGAAAAATTATACAATACTTTGCATGATTCTTTTACTGACAGATAATGTATCATTTCTTTGTAGTTTAGAAAGATCATCATTGTTTTACTTGCTTGTTTTTGCTAGGACTGGAGATGTGGCTCAAGTGGTAGAGTGCCTGTCTCACAAGAGTGAAGCCCCAACTTCCAACCCCAGTCCCACAAAAAAACAAAACAAAACAAAAAAGCAAAGAAAACTTGTTTGTCTTTGCTTAATACAGACCTGAACTCTAAAACAGCCAATAGCTTGAGATATACCGATTTCTTTTTATTTTGTGGAACTAGGGTTTGAACTCAGAACCTTGCACTTGCTAGGGAATCACTCTATCACTTGAGCCATACCTCAAGCCCCTAACATTTCTCTGAGGAACCCTCCCCTTTTTTCTTCTAGTGGTACTGGGAGTTTGAACTTGGGGCCTTGTGCGTGCTAGGCAAGTGCTCTACCACTTGAGCCATTCCCCTAGTTGGACATACTGATTTTTGATCTGTAATCCTTGCTATGAGTTCTTCTCCCTCCCTCTTCTTCGTCCTTTGTGTGTGTGTGTGTGTGTGTGTGTGTGTGTGTACGCACGCGTGTGTGTGATCGCACTGGGTATTGAACCCAGGTCCTTACAAATGAGCTACAACCCTAGTCCTCCACTTGTCTTGGCCATTTGAATATTTTGTTACTATTTTTTTTGTGACAGGGTCTTGCATTGTAGCCCAGGCTGGCCTCAAACTTGCAAACTTTCTTCTTAGCCTTCCAAATGCTGGGATTACAGGCATGCTCCACTATGCCTGGCTTGATGAAGTTTTGAAAATGGAGTATGATGAGTTGGCAAGAGTGGCTTAATTCAGAGGCCGTGTTTCAGAATGTATAACTTTGCAATGTTGTCTATTTGAATATACATACTTGTTTTCTCTCTCTCTCTCTCTCTCTCTCTGTCTCTCTCTCTCTCTCTCTCTCTCTCTCTCTCTCAGTGCCTCAGTGGAATTCCCAAAGTATATGAGATTTCTAGTAGAACAAGAATGAGATGAGATGTTCAGGAGAGTCTGATGAAAAGTCTTTTTTCTACTGATTTCTATAATTAAAATGATAAGTATATAAGTGTCTCACCCATGGTATCCAATAAATGTCTGTTGCCTTTTCTAGCTGGGTTCCCCACAGGCTAGATTACACCTGATCTTTATCATCCTTTTCCTTTTCAGGAGTGAAGCTCACCCAGAAAATTAGGTAACTAAAAGTTCAGTACAGTTTGGGTAATGCAGTTGACTAGCTGTGTCCTCATCCTTCCTACCCATCCTGCCAGGGAGGGGCTGAGAGTAGAATAACCCAGGTGGCTTCCCTGCGGCCCCTCCAGCTTGTCTTGGCAGATTCCACATATCGGGCTATGGGCTGCAGCTCTAGTGAACAGTCCTGTCTTTGGTGATGACAATTACAGAAGCGGCTGGCAGATTTCACAGGCCATCTCAGGATCTCAACATCCACATGTATTGAAAATCCACATCATTCATGACTGAAACTTGGTCCCTGTCTTGAAATCCTGCTAGATGTGCATCAGTAATGAATCACATTGGAGATGAAGATGCCTAGCTGGGAGACCTTTCCTCCTGGCATGTGAAGTACCTACTGAGCACCTGAGGCTTCTTCAGTGTGCTGATTCAGGGCAGAACTGGGTTAACTTGTAGTCTGGGTGGCATGTTCTCTCATGAGAGGGAGCTTCTTAAGGCAGGCAGGCATACCTCTGGATAGTCATCAGAAGGAATGGACTCCATATAGGGCAAGGCTCAAAGTCAGGGAACAGGTAGGCCTCAGCCACCCAAGCTTCATCAGGGCCTTTTTTTCTTTTTAAATAAATGAACCTTTGAATGTAAGGCTTGATTTTTTTTGTTGTTTTGTTTTTCTTTTTTTTTTGGAGGTACTCTGGGGTTTGAACTCCAGGCCTCTCTCTTGCTAGTTAGATCACTTGAGAGCTACTCTGCCAGCCTGTAAGACTTGAATTTAATCATTGGATTCCTATTAGAGATTTATCTTATCTTTAGCTGGTCAGAATTATTTTACCCTCTCCAAACTGCTAGAGATTATTTTAATCTGAGATACAAAACTGACTTCCAACTTGATTGAAATTTACTGTGGCATACATACATCTACTAAGAAGTTTAAGTAAGTAACAAACAAGATGGGAACATTTAAATCCTTAAGAAAACAAACTGTGATAAGTACTTTAGGAATAGAACTACTGTGTTAATTATAAATTATTCAGATCAGCAAACATTTTTTATAGGCTTTTGAGATTCAAAGCTAGTAGATAATCAGTCTCATCTAAGTAATAAAAAGGATCATATCTTTTGCTTAGTTTTTATATGAACTCAACAGCATGGATTTCAATAAGAGATTTAATTGCTAAATATTGGTCTGAATTAGTACAGTTTTATGTCCTTTTTAATTTCATTTTTATTTGGAGGAGTTACTATTTTTTATACAAAAAAAGTTTTCATTCTGATATTTTCATATGTGAATTTGTGTGTGTGTGGCAGCATTGGGGCTTGAACTTAAGTTCTTTCTTTCTCTCTCTTTCTTTTGTGTGGTAGCACCGGGGTTTGAACTGAGGACTTCATGCTTGCTAGGCAAGTGCTCTTACCACTTGAGCCAGTCTGCCAGCCCTTTTATATGATGAGTTTTTTGAGAACTGTTTGCTGGGGGCTGGCTTTGTATTGCTATCCTCCTGATCTCTGTCTACCAAGTAGCTAGGCATGAGCCACTGGCACCTGACTGTATTGATTTTTTTTTTATAAGAACTCCCACTTGATTGAGAAATAAGAGGAAAAAGAATGCTAATAGTTTAAACAAATAACTTTTTCTATGTGTGGTACTGGGGTCTGAACTCAGGGCTTCACTCTTACAAAGCATGTGCTCTACTGCTTGAGCCACACCTCCACCTTGTTTTGCTCTGTTTATTTTGGAGATAAGGTCTTGCAGACTATTTGCCAGGGCTGGCCTCAAATGGAGATCCACCCGATCTCAGCCTCTTAGGTGGTTAGCATTACAGATGTGAGCCATCAGCGCCTGGCTAAACAAATATTTTTTTAACTTTTATGTTTTGTCATTTCATGAGAACTTAAAAGTCAGATTTGTCACAGAATTTGGGCTGGTAAGTATTAACTCCATTTTGTGTGAACCAAAACTTAGAAAAAGTTACACATTTGCATTAGTATCATAAATAAAATGTTATTTCCTGTAATTAATAAGCTTTCTTTCATTTTACCTGAAGTCTTTGAACTTAGGTATTCATTGGAATTGTATCATGACAATGTCTGTCAGATTCACAATCTGATTGAATTTCACACTGTGCACTGCCAGTCTTTTTGTATATTAAAATAAAGCATATCAGGGTATTTCCCAAATTGCAAAATTTAAGCAGTTGGTAGCATGTCATCTACTTAACTCTAGCAAATGAAGAACAGTTAGTCTAGTAATTTGTTTTTTTATTTTTAGTCCAGTAATTTGTTGTGTTGTGTTTACTGAAACTATTTTGGTTATTAAGTGTTTTGTAACACACACACACACACACACACACACACACACACACACACAAATGTATACGGTCTTTGTACAACATTATACAAGTGCCAGTATGAACCTAGTTGGTTACATTTTATTTAGGCACTTTGGAAAAACCTAATTTAATTTCTATTTTGCATCGGTTTTGTTTGAATAATTCTTTTTGGGAAAATTATGACTTTGGAAAATACCTTAACATTTTCAGACTTAGAGTAGTGGTTAGTAATTTGACATTGGTGCATCAGGTATACTTGTCATGAATGAAAATGCTAATTGCCTTCATTAATACCTATGAAACACTTTTACTCACTAGCTACATACTTCATCATACAGTGCCACTCATTATGTACAGTGTCTCTTAGATCTGCTAGAAGCAAAATTTTTTTCAATTAGTTGTGTCTTGGGGATGGAGATGTAGCTCAGTGTTAGAGTGCTTGCCTAGCATGTGTGAGGCCCTGGGTTTGATCCCCAGCACTAAAAGAAAAAAAAGAAAGTAAAAAGAGTTGTATTTCTAGTTTAGCGGAAGGCCAGATAACATTTACTACTCTACCTAATTTTGATCTTCTGCATTGGAAAATGTGGTTAAAAAGTAATAGTGGATAGAGATAATGAATACCCACTAGCATTAAATTAAATGAATGACACCAATGTAGACATGCTTTAGGCCATGGCTAATATTTTTAAACACTATTTTCCTTATTTAGCTAGTACCACTTTCCAGATGTTTATGTAGACTTTATCTTATATGTGGCTTCATCATGGTAAAGAAAATAAGCAAGAGGGAAATTAAAGGACTTTCTTCATGATAATCATACCTTATTAATTTGGGTCTGAGTTTTCATTTATAGACCCTTTGTAAAAATATATGTCAAATGAATTTAAGCGTATAGTGAGACTATATCAAACCATTTGATCACCCATTTCCGTAAGAGATGTGTGGAGGAATCAGCACATGGTAAGTCATCAGTGTGGATCCCATAAAGCATTCTCATTGGGACTTAAGTGATGTTTTTATGATATGTGATGAAGAATAACTTTAAAAGTTATTAGCCTAGACATTTTATTTTTTAAGCATTTTTATTAGCATATGTTAGTTGTACAGGGGGTTTCATTGTTGGTTTAGACATTTTATAGTTAAAACTTTTACTTCATTTGAATAACTGTTATGCAGTATATCCTCACCTAGCTTTACCTAATTTACTGTACTGTTAATTTACCAATTTACTGTAAATGCAGTGATATATAACTAGGCCTTCTAATCTCCAGCTTGTCCACTTTATCTTTTTGTCATGGTGGATTTATTTACTGAGATTTTTTCCTTAGACATTTTATCTGTGCAAATGTAAATGTTGAGCTTTTTAGTTTTAGGTGAGTTTGAGTAACTTTCTCCTTTCTTGTAAATACTTTATGCCTTTTTTCCCATGCTCTCACCAGGATCACCACATCTATGTCTATATATCTGTATAGTTATTTTTAAAATTCGAGGATGATCATTTATAGTTCAGGGTTAAAGACACCCCACTGTGGGAACCGATGATGTGAAAGCTTTTTGTAGAACAGATAGGTTTTGCAGATTGGTATCATCAGCATGACAGTTCTTCTTTCCTTTCCCTTGTTCCCTAGGAGACTCTATTGCTGAAAATGTAATTAGGCTATTGCTATACTTTTCAGTCCATCAACTTCTATTGCAACTGAAATGAAACCTGCTACATGTTACGAGATGGCCACTTGAGGGAACTCTGCTGTTTCTAAAGCATTTGAAAATTTCCAGCAGGAATCAGAATGTTTGCAAGTTTTGAAATTTTCTTACTGTTGCTTGCTTTAAATGTTTTCTAATTTTCATTTTGTTGGCAGTACTGGGGTTTGAACTCGGCTTTACCCTTGCTAGTCAGGAGCTCTGCCACATGAGCCACACCCCCAGCAATGCAAATTTTAATTATGTGGTAATCTGTTTGAAATCAGTCAGACATGTTAACTTTTTTTAAAAAGTGGTAGTATAGAAAGTAGATTTTAGATTTTAGAGCCAGAAAGGGAATTTGTGTGGTGTTTTAGTAGTACTGGGGTTTTAAACACCAGGCCTTGTGCTTGCTAGGCTGGTGCTCTACCACTTGAGCCATGCCCCTAGCTCAGTTTTGCTTTCAGTTATTTTTCAGGTAGGGTCTTTTGTTTTCACCCAGGACCAGTCTTGCACTGCAATTCTCCTACCTATGCATCTTAAGTAAGTGGGATGATAGGCATGCACTTCTACACCTAGCTATTGGTTGAGATGTGGGCGTGCTAACTTTTTGCTGGGGCTGGTCTTGAACTGAGATCCTCTGGATCTCTGTCTTCTAACTAGCTGGGATTATAGGTGTGAGCCAGAGTGCCTGGCTTAGAATCTAGAGGGACTTTTGAAGGTATACTTTGCTATACCTTAAATTACTTTGACTCTACCTTTGTTTTCTGAAGCTTTGTGGTCTTTAAAGTCATTTGATTCTGGTTTTCAATTTATAAAGGGATTGTAAAATATTTCCCCTCCTAACTCATAAAGCTAGGTTAAATGAATTAATGAGTTTGAAAAGAACTTTGTGAATTATAAATTGTTTGATAGATGACTGATTTAAAAAATGAAACAGGGACTGGTGTTGTAGCTCAGTGGCAGAGCACTTGCCTAGCATTTGCAAGCCCTGGGTTTGATCCCCAGCACTGCAAAAATAAACAAATAAATAAGCAAACAAAAAGTGCAAAGCAACAGGATATATCTACTACTTTAAGTAGAGGATAATAAAGACTAACCAGCTGTTTTCAAGGTACTTTCATCTAAAGATTTTACTATTCCTCCAAAATTGCTATTTTATAGTTTCTTTTTCTTCCTTACTAAACTTCTAACATAGTAAGAGTTTAAAAAAAATACAACTTTGTGTAAAAATCTCTAAATTTTCAATGTTTTTATTTTGTGTGGCAGCACTTTCATTAGGTGTAGAAGGGGAAAACTTGAACAGCATATTTCACTGTCATGTTGATAAACCTACTAAAGTTTGTTGTTCTGTTTCTATTTTAAGGAAATTTACCACTGTCGAAGACAAATAAAATATAGCAAAGATAAGATGTGGTATTTGGCAAAATTGGTAAGTTAAAATGACTTACTTATATATAATACTTGGGAAAATAAGCTATGAATTTCCTCTCAGGATTTGAATAGTATAAATGCATTTTTCCTGGTTCCCTCCAAATATAGTCATATGTTTAGACAGTCAGGTAATCAAAAGAATGGTTACTCAGAGTTGTATGATTTTGCTTAATTATTAGCCTTTCTTCTGAGAAAGGAAGTCACATGGGATAGATGATATTTAAAACAGTCATCCGGAGTCTGGCTGTAACCAGAGAATCTAGGAAGTTTACTTCTCTGTAAAAGTTGATTCAATCTATTTTAAAACTTCAGTTTTAAGTTTTTTTTCCCCTAGAAAAAGGTTTATAGATGAAAAGAGCAAATATACATGTAGTTTGTTTCTTCTGTAGGAGAAAGAGAGGAGAAAGAGGTGTCTTTAATAGTAGAGTGATTGTTGCAAGCCTGTGGTCTCTCTTTTAATGTTAGTGAAATTATTACCCTCTAGGTTTTATGGTTAAATGTTTGATTTTGACTTAAACAGGGTAGTATCCCTTCTCAAACTTGTTCTCTTCTTTTTGCCTGTTTTTAGTTCACTGTTTCTAGAAATCATTCAGATTATATAAGATTTTTTTCATTGAAAAAGGGAACTTTTTTTTTTCCTGTGATGTAGGGGTTTGAACTCAGGGCTTCATGCATGGGAGGCAGGCACTCTACCTCCAGCCCAAAAAGGGAAATTTGATTTGTAAACTAATTTGTTTATTCTCTCTTGCTTCTCACCCTTTAATTTTAGATACGAGGAATGTCTATTGACCAGGCTTTGGCTCAATTGGAATTCAGTGATAAAAAAGGGGCCCAAATAATTAAAGAGGTAAGCTTGTATGATTTAGGAGTTAGAGCCGGGTGCCAGCGGCTACACCTATAAGCCTAGCTATTTGGGAGGCAGAGATCAGGAGGATCGCAGTGTGAAGCCAGCCTGGGCAAATAGTTTGCAAGACCCTATCTCAAAAATACTCAACACAAAAAAGGGCTGGAGGAGTGACTGATGGGGTGGAGGGCCTGCCTAGCAAGTGTGAGGCCCTGAGTTGAGATCAAACTCTAGTACTGCCAAAAAAAAAAAGGATTTAGGGGTTGGGGGAAACAGAGAAAAGCAGCTATCTTGCAGGTGTTACTCACTTCAACCTAAATCCTGAATTTGCTGAATTTTCTGTTGTAAATACAGACTTTACAAACTGTATAGATTTAGGACAATTTTATTAATTTCCTTATTCCTTAGAGGTATTATATGCTTTAAGCATTTTTCCCCATGAGATATTTTATTTTTACCAGACATTTATTTTTACTTTTTAAAAAACTGTCTATGAAATGATAAATCTTATTTTTAATGATTTGGAGCTTGATACATTTTTTTTAATGATTTGGGGCTTGATATTTTTTTTTAAAGATTTTCCTTGGGGGTGTTTAATTCCACAAATGAAAGCTTTTGGTTTTATAACTAAGTGGAAAGAGCACTGGAATGGAATTTGGGATACTTAGAGTATAGTCATTTCTCTGACATTTTTCTTGTGACCCTGGGTAAAACATTAAACCTGTCTAGTTCTGTGTTTTGCACTTGTACAGTGGGTGGGAATGGGTTCAGTTGTCTCAAAAAACCTTTTTATCTATAAATGCAGCTGATTGATGAGGTACGATTGTGCTGGCATACTTGTGCTGACTTCTGTGCACAGGAATGGTCTTTTCTCAGTCACCTAGGGATTTCAGCATTATTTTTATATCTTCAGTTAATTCCTACCTAGTCAGCTCTTACTTTGACATTTAGTACTTGAGTGGTTGAGGCTGGTGGATTCAGGGTTCTGAGTATAATGCGTGGTGCACTGTGTTTATAGCGCTATGATGTAATGCGTGGTTCATGTGTCTGAGGTCAGGTGTGCTGTAAGCACCATTGCACGCAGCCCTGTGCTTCCTTCTTTACTCTTAAAGGAATGAAGGATCCAATTTCGTTATTTCTCACAAGTGTCATAGTTTAACACATTAAATTAACTTAATGCAAAATGTCTATGGATATATTTTTGAGGTACTGGGGTTTAAGCTCAGGCCTTCATGCTTGCTAGGCAAGCACTCATATCAGTTGAGCTACTAGATTCCCTTGTGTTTTTTTTTTGTCTGATGTTAATGGTCATTTTCAACCCAAAACTTAAGAATTTTTTAGTAAGATTTATCTCTTGAGTTTCTTGAACTTTTTTTTTTTTTTTAAATTCTGGAGTTTGAACTCAGGGCCTTGCACTTGCTAGGCAGCTCTATTTGCTTTAGGTATTTTTGACATAGGATCTCACTTTTATGCCAGTTGAAACAATCCTGTTCACATCCCATGTAGCTGGAATGACATGTGAGAACCACCATGCTCAGATTTTATTGGTTGGGTCTTACGAACTTTCACACAGGCTGGCCTTAAACCATGATCCTCCCCATCTGCACTCCTGAATAGCTAGGGTTAGAGGCGTGAGCCCCCGTGCCAGTTGTTTTTGTTTTTTGATACAAGGTTCCACTCTGTAACCCAGTCTGCCTTTGAACTCAAGATTCTCCTGTCTCTGCTGCCTGAGTGCTAGATTACAGGTGTCTGCTTAGGTAGCTTCTTGAACTTTTTTGACAAGACACTGACTGAAAGATACAGTGTTCCCTGCCAAGGTCACTCCTTTTAGGGACTGCTTTCTCCTCCCTTTCAGTTACACATGCTGTTTAGAACTCAGTGGACAGATGCAGCCCCTGTGTATCAGCAGTTCCTATCTGAGGAAGGAAGCTCACTGCATCCCTTCTCTTTAGTACTTTTATCATTTGATACTCTATTTTTCAAATTGACTGTAAAATGAGGCATGTGATTGCACATCTTATTACAGAGATAACAAGAGATGAGAAATTTAATTCTGTTTCAGTTCAAGATTAACTATATGAGAATGCCTTTCTTTTCCTTATTTAAGATTCTCTTAGAAGCACAAGATATGGCTGTGAGAGACCACAATGTTGAATTCAGATCCAATTTGTACATAGGTAAGATGTTTAATATTCTTAGCATTGGAAAATGTCTTTCAGTGTGATGCCATTTTCTTTATTTAACAAGTCTTCAGTATCTAAGACTTAGTAAAACTGGGCTTGCAGTGAAACTGCTGGTCTTAAGCATATCAACGTTAATCTTGTAAGTGATAATAAATGTACTGTTTTATTCTTAGCTCTTCAGTAATGAGACTGAAATTGTGAAATATCTTGCCAATAATTATAAATAATGTATTCCAAGACTGCTACGTAGAGTGATACTTTCTTTGTTTTTTGGCGGGACTGGGGTTTGAATTCAGGCCTTTGTGCTTACAAAGCAGGTACTCTACCACTTGAGCCATTTTTCCAGTCTTAGAGTGATTCTTTAATCATAATAACACTTAGAAAGGGTCTGATGTTTTAAAAAGTAAATTTTTTGTTGCTTGGAAGCAGGTAAATAAAGGTGCACCTCTGGACTTAAAAGGTCTATAATATGCCAAGCCAGGTGCCTAATGCATAAAGGTGTCCTACAGTTTAGCCTCTGATTATCAGAATGGAGGATCTGTTGAATTTTAGAAGCCAAGGGACTTTAGTAGGCTCAGGTGTCCCTGGTGTGTTTGCTCCCTTGTTACTGCATCCTGAGGTACTGACTGCCTCTGAAAAGCCTCTATATGCTTTTCCACCTCAGATTAAACTAATGGAGTGAACATGCTTTGGAAGCAGGAGATGCCATACAAATGTAAGGGATTTTTTGCAGCATGCCTTCTCACAGCTGTTTTTCTAGAAGGAGATCAGCATTTATTACAAAGCTCTATTGCCTCCTCCCCACACCACAGTAACATGGAGCAGTAGTTGTAGTTACTATTTTCCTCTCACTTCAGCAGCAACCGCTCCTAACCTCAGCAGCTTTGTAATCAAAGATGTTGATGTTGAAGCAGAATTTTCTCAATCTGCCAAACCTATGTGCAAGAAGAGCTGTTTTATCTAAAGATATCTTAAATTCCACATATTAGGAACTGCTGCTCTTCCAGATGGGGGGAAAAGGCTGAAATAGAACAGGGGAATTGGCTGTAGTTTATAATTTTTCAACAAGTAGAGAAAAAAGAAATATTGTAAATTGTACATTGTCATAATCTCTGGAGATATTTATTCTGATTAAGTTAAAATTTTACCTCAGCTCACCTGGAATTGATACCATCAACCACACCTCCTTCTGAAATTCAAATTAGTTATGGTTTTCAATTGAAATATTTTAAAGCTGAGTCTTTATAACTAATTTTATTCTATACATGCACAGATGCAGAGGGAAGTCAAATTGCCAGCTGAGGAAATACAGAGCTACTGTAGTTAGTCATGAGCATTTCCTTCTGGAGGCAGCATGAATAAATAACACTAGGGAGAGCCCAGGATCATTGCAAGGGATGAGATAGACAAGGAGCAAGACCATTTGCTTAACACTTCTTGGTGACCTTTCCTACTCTGTGATTCTGAATATTAAACCAAATTTAATTAATTTTATTCAATTTCATAGGTATATGGGATACTTGAGTAGAATTCAGATACAAATGAACTTGGGTTTGTCTTTAAGTCTTTTTCAATAATTGTCTTTAAATCCTTTTCAAAAATTATAATAAAGAGAGATAGGTGGAGATCTTAGTCCTGATCCCAAATGAAGAAGCAAAGTCCAGTGTTGCCGTGGGGCAAAAATTTCCTTAACCAGTCTTATATAAATGTGCATTTAATTCAAAGGTCTCCTTATGTACTTTTCTGCTGAAGAATCTCTGCTTAATTTGCACTCTTTTTCATCTAAAAATCGCTTTTCTTAAGTAGGGCTAATGAGTTTGCGTTTGTCCTACAATTTAAAAAATTGTTCATTTATTAAATACTTTGATGCCCACTTCCGTGAACAAGAGATGAGTACCAACAGGCAGGTGAAATATGCCTGTTGGACATTATCCCTGAATTTACCAGACTTCCTTAAGAAGGACTATATGAGATTCTTATTAAAATGGATTCCACAGATAGGACCATTGGATCTGACATACCAGGGACCAATCTAGGAAGCTGTTTGTTTAATATGTATCCTAGAGAGTCTTATAAAATGTAAGAAACTGATTTATCTCATTTCATTCTTGGAAAGGCCTAGCCATCTCCTTCCATAGACCTCTATGAGAATTTTGAAACACTAGCTACTTGTTGGCAATCATTTTGGTTCAGCAGTGGCTCTTTCAGTGCCCTGCTATAAGTGTAGGCATTTTAAGGGAAATGCTTTTTTGGTAGCATATGTTCTCATTATATGGTAATTCCTTCAAATGCCTGTCATCAGTCTAAAGCTGATACCTGGTGTTACATGAGTACAGATTTAGAAAATTCATTTCTTTTTCACACTTATAATGATGACTAATGGCACTTTGAATAGGCTTTAACAAGTGGACATGAGCTAATAAAATGTCACTGCTTAGTGATTCATGTCATCTAAAATGATTCACTTTAGGGAAAGTGATGAATTGACTTTGTACATCAATCTTCTTGTCTGTATGTGATGAAGTGGAGATTAGAGGGTATCTAATGTGAAAACATCAAGATTCAAATTTACCTAAATAGTAACACCCACGCACAGGAAATCAATGTGAGTCAATGCCCTGTATAGCTATCCTTATCTCAACCAGCAAAACCCTTGTTCCTTCCTATTATTGCTTATACTCTCTCTACAACAAAATTAGAGATAAGGGCAAAATAGTTTCTGCTGGGTATTGAGGGGGGGAGCGGGAGGGGGTGGAGTGGGTGGTAAGGGAGGGGGTGGGGGCAGGGGGGAGAAATAAACCAAGCCTTGTATGCACATATGAATAATAAAAGAAAAATGAAAAAAAAAATAAAATAAAAAAAATAAAATGGAGCTCTTAAAGTGAGTCAGGGAGTGGTAAAAAAAGAAAAAAAGAAAAAAAACAAATTTACCTAAATAGTAATAGAAAACACTGAAAATATTTTATTTTTATTTATTTGGTTTTTTTGTGGGACTTGGGTTTGAACTCAAGGCTTTGTGCTTACAAAGCAGGCACTCTGCCACTTGGGCCATGCCTCCAGTCCCTGATATTTTAAACACATGATGCCTTTTGGGCATTATCTTTAGAAGAACATAGGTCATTCTGTCTGTGTGATGTTTTAATGTTGTCTTTCATTAAAATACTATGCATAATTTCAGTATGCATATGACTCACATAATTAGGTGATGGTGTGTCTTTTATATCAGTTTAAAACATCTAGCATGTGTAGTTTTGTTCTTTGGCAGTAGTATTCCTTTGGAAGGAATACTGAGTTAGAATAAAACCATGTACACCATTAGTATTGTATGTATTTGGAAAACTTTGAAACTCTGTTCAAAAGTAGAGTCAATTTTCAGATATCCCTCTGTTGCTACTGATTTGTCAGCAGGGATGATCGTGAACCTTTGGGCAGTACAAAGGAGTACATATTCAGTAGAGGAAATGACTTTTACAGATGTAATGTGAGCATTTATAAAGGTAGCATATGGGGTCTGCGGGATAGCTCAGTGGTGGAGTACTTGCCTAGTATGTGCTTTGATCCCCAGAGCACAGCAAACAAATAAGCACAAACCTTAACAACTAGCTGGGCATGGTGGTGTACACCTATAATCCTAGCACTGAGGAGGCTGAAACTGGAGGATCACAAGTTCTAGGCCAGACTGGGCTACATAGTGAGTTCCCAGCAAGCTTTGCTAGGTGTGGTGAAGAATACTTGTAATTCTAGCATTTGGGAGGCTTGAGGCAGGACCACTGCAAGTTTGAGACCAGCCTGGTCTACAGTATCACAAGACCCTGTCTCAAAAAAAAAAAAAAAAACCATATAATTTGGGACCAAGAAGAGTAATACAGGTAAGTGGTATTGTTGGAAGAGAAGAGGTAAGTAAGTAAGTGTTAGAAGTGGGGCAGTCACATAAGCAGAAGCACATAGGTGAGAATGAGCAGTAATTGGGTATTTGGTGAGTGAGGACTGGCACAGTTAGGACCTCCCCCACCTGTGTTTCACTGGGAACAGATTCCAGCACAATTTTTTTTTTTTTTGTGGTACTGGGGTTTGAACTCAGGGCCTCATGATTGCTAGGCAGGTGCTCTGCCATTTGAGCCACTCTGCCAGGCCTCTTTGTGTTGGGTATTTTTGAGATAGGGTCTCTTGATCTATTTGCCTTTGTTGGCTTCAAACCATGATCCTCCTGATCTCTGCCTCCTGAGTAGCTAGGACTACAGGTGTGAGCCACTGTTGCCTGGCAGGGATGTCTCTTAATATCTCCAGTGTGAAATTGTCCTCACCTACCCATCCACTGATGTATTTTATTCACAGCACTGGCCACTGTTGTGTTTTCTGACTTGCCTCCAGAATGTAAACTGCTTGGAGGCAGGAACCTCCAGTCATGTTTACTCTTGTTTCTCCAGTGTCCAAAATTGTGCCTGGTGCTTAATGCTCAGGATATACTTGTTTTGAGATAAGCTTGCTCCAGTCAACCAGTGAGCTCATGTATTCTTAGGATCCAGTCAGGGCAGGACAGGGATTGTGCAACTCAACAAGCTATAGACTTGTGGATGGTCCTTTCTTCTAATTCTCTCTTCTTCCCTGTGTAGCTGAGTCCACCTCAGGGCGAGGCCAGGGCCTGAAACGGATCCGCTACCATGGCAGAGGTCGCTGTGGCATCATGGAAAAGGTCTATTGCCATTACTTTGTGAAGCTGGTGGAAGGACCCCCACCTCCGCCTGAGGCCCCCAAGACAGCAGTCTCCCACGCAAAGGAGTATATTCAACAGCTTCGCAACCGGACCATCATTCACACTCTCTGATGGATTCAAATTCCACGGTGCATATGTGTTGCCGTTTATTTTTAAAAATAAAAGAAAACAAATGTCTTCTATGATTTGTCATTGAACAACTGAAATGCAGTGTATAACTGCAAGTTTTGCATGTGTATTTAGAAGGCTTTGCCTGTCTCTCTTGAGCCTATTTGTTGCATTTGTAGCTGGGAAGGAGACAGCTTTAAATGAAGGAACAGACTGTAGTTCACAAGGCATTTTTGATTTCCTTTTGAAGGGAATATTAACTTTCCAACTGGTGTCTTGCAGATGGTAATTTGGGCATGGGATAAGAACAGTTGTCCTAATTTCAGTTGATTTTCTCTTGGTATCAGGGAGGCTGTAGTGGAGGTAAGCATGGTTTCATGGTGTTTCAGTGCAAGATTTTAAGGCACTCAGTAGTTCTGTTTTTCCTTTTACCATTGCACATAAAGCACTTAGTAGTTCTGTATTTCCTTCTACTACTGGCACAGACTAGTGGGTGAAGGATTATATTTCCCTTTACTATTTTAAGAGTAACTTGAAAGATAACAAGAAAGCTGGTGCGCCTGTAATTCTAGCTCTTGGGAGGCTGAGATCAGGAGGATGGTAGTTCGAGGTCATCCGGGAATAGTGGAATAATAGTGAGTTCCTGTCTCCAAAATAACCAGAGCAAACTGGACTGGAAGTTTGGCTCAAGCAATAAGCACCTGCTTTGCTAGTATGAAGCCCCAAATTCAAACCCCAATCCCATCAAAAACAAAAAAAGGAGTTATTAGATATACTAACCTAAAATTTTAAAAGTGCCTTCACTTTGAATGTTTTCTTCTAGTTAAATCAAGCCTGTTTTTATGTGTCCCACCAATGGCACTTTGCTGTTACTTGGATATCTTCTTTAGGATTGGTTCATTTTTCAAGGTGAATACAATTACTGAGATGACTTGAATCAACCTCAGCACTGTGTTCTAAAATAAAGCAGTAGGTGGCGCTCATGCACCTCCTGTTAGGAAATTGTTAGTATCAAGTTAGTGTTCAACTCTACGTGGCTCTCACTGATACATGTGTTTTCATTGGCAAGAAACATTCTTTGTCCACAGCCTTGGTCTAATGTGTCTCAAAGTATTGTAGGTGTCCTTGTTTGTTAATGCAGACTGGGTCCCACCCCAGGGATTCTGATGTACTAGGTTTTGTGAGGGACTAGTTCCAGAAATCTGTGTTCTAAACAAGCACTTCCAGGTGATTCTGTTGTGGAGGACTACATTCTGAGAACACTCCTCTCCTCGTAGAATGAAGGATGTACTTTCATTGGAATGTTTTAAGTTGGTGGTAATTGCCACTACTTGCTGGAACCTTTGTTATTTGCCAAGCTCTATGCTAGAGTTTTGTGTTATTCTTCACAAAATGCTGCAAACCTGAGTATTGTTTTGCCACTTTACAAAGGAAAAACTGAAGCACACAGAATTCAGATAACTTATCACAGAGTCACACAGGATGTAAATGTTGGCACTATGATTTAAATTAGGTTTCCAGAGTGACTGGTTCTGCATGCTTATTAAATACACAGATGGGTTTTTGTGTCTCTCCAGTTAATTTATGTCATGGGTAAAAAAGGTATCAGGGCTCAGAGGAATAAGCCAAACTGAAGGATCTTTGGGGGCTTGAGCTCTTGTAGCATAGAGTCACAGAAAAAAACAAAAGACAACATTCATCCTAGTCCTTGCATGCTCCTTAATGAGAAAGAAGACTGAGCAGATCCCTTCCTTTTCTGACTTCCATTTCATTCATTTATAAAGCAAGGCTTAGTGTCCTCTGAGACCAACCTTCAGAATCACTTTAACAGCCAAGTGTGGTGGTGCATTCCTATAATCTCAGCACTTAGAAGGCTGAGATAGGGGATGGAAAGCCTGAGCAAGACCCTGACTCAAAAAGAAAAAGTCACTTGAATTTGTTAAAAAATATAAATTCCTGGGCCCTGCTCCGAGACTTAAGTGAACGAAGATCTCTGGTGTGGGAGACTAGTGCATGTTGGTAAATCACTGCACCAGAGGACCTCTGTGCTCTTACTGCATAGATGCTCCATGATTCTTAGCCTCGTTGACTTCCTCGTATGTGACTAAAATAAACCAGTTGGTGGTGTGAATGCCATAACTATAAATTATACAAATGAAGATAACTGGTTTAATAAGGCTATGGAAACAGGTAAGGAAAAAACTAGCCTTGGATCTTTTGTTTTTAATCTAGGTCCTGCAGATTGAAGCCAGGACCTTGTGTGTTTGCTAAGTATGTGCTCTACTACTGTGCTACGTCCTCAACTCCCTTGATCCTGGATTCTAACGAAAAAACTTTGCACATGAGCTGTGTTAGACTTTGATTGCTATGACAAATACCTGAAATGAACAACATAAGGAAGGATTTCAAAGGTTTCAGTCCATCATGGCAGGGAGGGCTTAGAGCAGTGGACATGATGAACTGGAAGTAGAGCTGTAACAGGAAGGAAGACACCAGGGAAAAATACAGCCCTTGAGGCATATCCCTAGTGTTCTTTGTCCTCCAACCAGACCCCCACCTTCCACAATTCCAGCACTCCCAGTAATCTGTTCAAATACCGAGTCCATCCATGTTTTAAGCCGTTCATTAGTCCTGATCCCTAATGAACCTGATCATTTCTGTAGTGTCCTCACAGGCCACCCAGAGACGTGCTTTTATCAATCTGTTTCTCAGTTCTGTCAAGTTGACAGTCAAGATTAAGCATCACATGATCTGAGTCGGCCTTCATCTGGAGCTCCTGACAGTGCTCTCGCGTGTAGTAATAGCTTGTTACATGTAGCACTTACTACGCACCTGGTACTATTTTAAGCACTTTGGGTACATTATCATACACATTCCAAAGCAGGAGAAAGTGGCATAGGTAACATTATTTCCAAAAATGGGTCCCTCTTTTTAAGGCTCTGACTCAGGTGTAACTGTCCACTATTAGATTTCTATGTGAGAGAGGGTCTGGGTTTTTATTCTTAAACTAACCTACAATGAGTTCTTTTAACATATAATTTAGGATGGACCTGTTACAATACTACATATACTTTGCGTGAAAGATTACAATCTTACATATGCTTTGAAAGAGGAAGTATTTGTAGGTGCAGTAAAGTTTTTTTTTTTTTTTTTCTTTCCATTGGAGACTTGAATGAATCATTTTCACTTTTGGTCCAAAAAGGCTCATAAAACTTTCACTTTGGGAAGCAAGGGATGGGACGATTATCAGACAAAACAGCATTTCAGAAAAGGCATTAAGTGTGCCAAGAAGGGTTGATTAATATGCACACATGTGGAGAAGTACGTTCTGGGATCATTGTGAGAAAAATTCTAAATCTTCTGAAGGTCATCTATAAATTCCAGCTGTCTACAGTGGACTCCAGGCTAAGAAATCCTTATTTTAATTATTTAACTCTATCTTGCCACTCTTCTTCACCTTTCCCTATATCCGTGCTCTTTGCAAAGTGACTACAGCTTTAAAGAGGAAGAGTCTTTAAATTCAGCTGGCCTTATGACTCTTTAGCAAACAGTGTGTTAGAAGTGACTGAAGCCAATTCTGAGTTTAGGCCTTAGAGGTCTTGTTGCTTCCTCTTTCTTTCTTGGAGCTCTGTTTTGTCTGTATAAATATGCCCAGGCTAATCTGGTAGAGGATGAGAGGCCACAAGGAAGAGAGCTATGGGCCCTAGCTGACAGCCAACCCCTCAGAGAGAGAGAGAGAGAGGCCAGCATACATCAACTGCTGACCCAGCCAGAAATTTAACTACAGAAGCATAGGAACATAGTTGAGATTAGAAAACCCACTACCAACCTATAGACTCATAACCAATAATAACTGCTTATTGTTTAAGCCACTGAGATTTGAGGTGGTCTGTAACACAAAAATACCTGTGTAAGCATTTCAAAGTTTATAACCTACAAATCCTTTCCAGCGGGGAGTGCACCAAGATGGCGCCCCCCGTGGATCTGGAGTTGAAGGCCTTCACAGAACTTCAAGCCAAAGTTATTGACACTCAACAGAAGGTGAAGCTTGCAGACATACAGATTGAACAGCTAAACAGAACAAAAAAGCATGCGCATCTTACAGATACAGAGATTATGGCTTTGGTAGATGAAACTAACATGTATGAAGGTGTAGGAAGAATGTTTATTCTTCAATCCAAGGAGGTAATTCACAATCAGTTGTTAGAGAAACAGAAAATAGCAAAAGAAAAATTTAAAGAACTAGAGCAGAAAAAGTCCTGCCTGGAGCGGAGCGTTAAGGAAGCTGAGGACAACATCCGGGAGATGCTGATGGCACGAAGGACCCAATAGGAGCTTCTAGGTGAAGCTCTTCTTTCCTCCTGACCTCTCTCATTCTTGCAAGAGCTGAGGGGCCTGCGCAGGATAACAGCCCCTCAGCCAAGCCAGATGGATGTTTTACCTGGATGGTCTCACAACCCCACATTCTCTATGTTGCCCTGAGCCCCTTTCAGGCCCCAACCTTGTGTATTTTTCTCTGCCTCTTTCTGTCAGCTGTGCTCCAGGACACTCTGTGCTTGGGGAGAGCTAGGAACTTCAGGGAGAAGGAGGACTGGGCCAGGGCAGATAGGGAAGTTTTGCCTGAGCTGCTGCTAGGCAAGCTGTCAAACCAATAAAAGGCTAAGTCCTAAAAAAAACCCCAAAAAACAAAAAACCAAAAAACCAAATCCTTTCCAAATAGCTATAAGAATTTAAAAAGTGGATGCTAAGTTATTGCAAAAAAACTTTAATAGATTTTTCCACATAGGAATTATATAGACAACTCTTTGTTTTTGGTAAGTAAAAGGGAGTAAAGAATAGTAAATGACTCACAGAATCTATAAGTGGGCCCAAGAACTAAATTTTTTTTTTTTTTTTGAGAGAAGGTCTCTCTATTTAACCAAGGCTGGCCTCAAACTCCTGCCTGAACCTCACAAGTGCTGGAATTATAGGTGTGTTCAACCATGTTCAACTCAAGAACTAGATTTTAAAGCTACATAGCCAGAAACAATGCAACCAGGGATGACATAGCCAGAAAATA